TTTCCTGCGTTGAATAGTAGTGTGTCATGCAGACGACAAAAAATGAGAAAGCTCATTCTTTTAATGGCATTCTTTGTAACGTTTTTTTTTCGTTTGGAACGTTCTCAAGAGTAATGGCTGATAATGTAACGACAGGTACACTCTGTAAAAAGTTTAACTGGTAATACCTAGGAGGAAAAACATAGCATTGCACAAGACGGTAATATATTACGATGTTTTCTTTTAACAACTTTATTAAGGAAGGACCATCAATCAAAAGAATGGAAACATAATTTCGTCACGAATCCGGGCCAAATCATGCAACAGTAAAAGACCGTTTGCAGATTTGCCGTGACATGATGTAGATAGCCGTGATATATGAAGACGCCAAGGTTGCAAAACAAGTGACATGATGCTTTGACAAGGATCAAAATATCTTTTTGTAAACATTGAGTTACACGCAGATTCTTATAACTTGTCACAGACTGGTTTTGAAGGGTACCGGTCATAACAGACTGGTTTTGAAGGGTACCAGTCATAACTTGTCACATGCTAGTTTTGAATACCAGTTAGATATTAAGATTAAGATACAAAATATTTCGTCATGATAAGACATTTTCTCTAAAATCATAATGGTTTTTCAACCCAAAAAAAAGATATACTTTTTACTTAATTATAATTCCTTTGAATTACATAATATTTGCAATTTAATTTCATTTCAACAACATACTATATTTGCAATCGATTTTAATTAAAATTCATTGAAATTTTCAAATTGGTTTTCCCGTTAGGACAATGCAAAGCTTTTGCAGCTGTAAAAGTAATTAACAAGAAAATCCATTTATTGGAAACGCTTCAAAATGAGTTATATATTGGCCTTTAAAATGTCTCTATTATATTGACTATGGGATATAACGACATTTTGTGGGTTGTTACAAAAAAGAGGAAAAAGAAAGAAAGATGCAGGTCATTAGCATAAAATTCAATAACCTACATTTGTAAATATAGGCCGCCATTCCGTTATGTCTTCACCGTCGTTGTACTTCATGATTGTACTTCATGATTTTACATCCAACGGTACTACGTTATATTCATACGCTGCAAGAAATTAGTCCTCTAGCTGTTACTTTTATAACTAGTACGCTACAATAAAACTGCAATTGATAAAATTTCATTCTGCTAGTTTTTAAGCAACCACAAAAAGCAAATTCTAGGAAAAGCTTATATCGTATGTAACTAAATGTATATATATGTATTAGCTTTATACAGCTGATCAGGAATAGTACAATTTCTATCTATACAGTCATCTTTTACTTGAACTACTTGCAACTTCCAAAACATGTTTAGCTCCGGCAATATCTTTGATATAATATCGTACACATACAATAAACCAAAATAACCTGTTTATTCTATATTTTATTTTATATTCTACTCCATTCTGTTCTTTGATTTATTCTTTATTACTAAATACTTTTCAATTCTATTGCATTGTATTCTATTTTATTCTTATGTTCTATTCTATTTTATCCTATCCTATGCTTTTCTGTTCGGATCGTGAAATAAATATTCCACTTAATCTTTTTTTTCACACATTTTATCATATCATACCGCCATTAGCATCATTAATTTGCTCTTCCCTATTTCATTTCATTCTACATGTATTATATATTATCATATTACATTATATTACGTTATATTATATCATATCATTATCATACCATTTTACATCATATTATCATTGTATTCTACCATACTATATCGCTCTTTCGTTCTTTCATATTTTCTTTCTTATCATTATGACATTATGACAATTATTGACATTATTTTATTCCATCACATCTTGTCATTTTCAATCTACATACTATTTTATTCTAAAATATTTCGTCAATATTTTGATATTGTACAATTATAATATATTATCATATCAAAGTATTTATCATATCATGATAAGTCTTTTCAGTTATAATTCTATCATAGTAAAATAGTGTTTGTCTTTTGAATAAAGTTGCTTATTCTTCATATTAAGATATGTTACTATAAGTTATTTGCTCCGGAGGGATCCTTTTCCTTTTTTCACAATATCAGATGTCTAGTGCCGTGTGGCAGCCGTAGAAAATTGCCTAGTACTTCTATTCAGTGTTGTTATATTTTTCTGGACCTTCGGGATCAGTGATTCTTGCACGTTAGAGTTCAAGCTTGAATACAGATTTAGCCGGTGCTAGGGAGGCAGGAGGGATGTTGCACTTTTAAGTTATCACTAACAGCTGAGTCAACCAATTCAAGTTTTCAATTTTCATATGATATTGTTATTATATTACTTCCGAGGGGTCATCCTTTTTCAAGATTTGTATATAGAAAATTGTTATGAATTTTCTTCTGGAAAGTTTTTCAAAAACATTCATTAATGAAGCTTTACACAAAAAAAATGTATGCATTTGTTGTTGAAAGAACGTATATGCAAACAAATAAGTTTTTAAAGTGCAATATATTACTGTTTTATGTCTAGTAAAAAATAAACCTTGCAAAACTTTAGTTTTCATCGTCTGCAACTGATATCTGTTTTATAACACACTAGGACGCTCGGTCAAGGCCGCTTCTACATATACCCTGAACTTGACCCAGTTAGTCAAACAAAAAAGTTCAGTTGTAAAGCTCTCGACGCTGTTTGTCTACCGGCGAATTTACTATTTATCCGGCTGTCAGCCAGTATATGTATATAACGATATAAATACAACCTGTACTTTCTTTTGTGTGAAAGCTATCAACCGGTTTGTTCGGGTGACAGTGTCTGCAGCCTTAACGTCGCTGGACTTAAATTAAAATGGATACGACATATAAAATTGATAAGGTAAATTCTAAAACAAATTCTTACTGCATGCAGTGAAAGTAAATATATGCTAAGCGCCGGTAGACAAGCTAGAAATAGAGCATTTACGTTATTTCCACAAGAGGCCAAAACAAAACATAGCAATTCTGCAGCAATGCTTTGGCCACGCAATAACAATCTGTCTTTAGATTTTGGTGTGGTTATGAGGGTGTATAGACATTAGTTTAAAACACTATGTATTCATCTCTGTTTGAAATAAAACTTTTATGCTTAATAGAAGTTATTACTTTGTTTTAAATTTTATGTGCTTTACTGTTCACCAATATCCTCTGGCATTGTCTTTAATTTGGTATATTTGTGATGCAATTTCAGCTAGTACCTCGTTCTTATAAATTTGTATTAATTGACCCTAGAATAAATTATGTACATGCTGTTTTTTCTGATCAGGTAATTCATGTTTTTGGATAGATTCATACCAAGCAAGTGATTATCATTTTCTCCCTTTAAAATTATCAATTTTTTTAAATGTCGTAACCACAAATAACTTTTATTAAGTATAAAATCAGAAAAATACGAAAATAGTTTGTGTAACTGATGAAATCGATGAATATCTGCAAATTTACAAACCATTCGCTTTTATCGCTGTTTAATTTATTAAAAAGCGACAACAGTGGTTTAAAAATGACATTAAAACATTTTAATTCACACAGCACTGATTGCTATTTTTATCAGCCTTTTAGATAATTGATTTATTGGTAACACAGTTTATATCATCTGTTGGTGAAATTTCTGATTGATTGGGTCAGTTTCACTAAGGATGAAAGTTAGACACATAACTACTTCTGCAATAGAAGTGAAAACGTAAGATCTGCTGGTGTTGGAAGACAAAACGATACAAGTTGAAATTACAAGTTTGCTATAAATAGATCGGAAGGAAAAGTTGCTTTTAAACACAATAACCCTGAATTGTATAGATCTGCAGTAAATGATAACGTTTCCGTTTAAATAGTATGGCAATAGCTGAACGGGATATCACCCTTTAATGTTATATATATTTTTGTTGTTTGTTTACATGTACATGCATATAAATATATATATCTTTATATCTGATTTTCCTTTAGGGCATCTGATATTATGAAATACATTGAAATTAAATAATTACAACGTGATATTTAATATTGTAATATCATGGTTGTAATATGTATATTAACGTTACAGCTAAGAAAAAAATGTTATTAATTAAATATATATATATTTATTTGATATATTGGTCGGACAAGATCCGTGTGGCAGCTGTAAAAAGTTTCCCCGTACTTCACTTCAATGTTGTTATATTATTCTGGTCCTTTGGGATAGTTGATTTCACCACTTTTAAGTGTTGAAAAATTATTACAGCTGAAACCGGTGCTAGGGGGCGTGAGGGATGTTGCACTTTTCATTGGTTGTCATTTTCATGTAATTTTGTTGTCATTGATGCTTCCGAGGGATCACTCTTTCTCCAGATTTTTTTGAAGACAATTATTACTATTCTTTCTCTCTGTACTAGATAATGATATAAAAAATAAAAATATTGAATTAACTAAATATATTTTCATGTTCAACTTATTAAGTCTACTAATATTTGTTAACATTTGCCTCTAAAAAAGATGAAGATTATCAGCTTTACAATTTATTAAAAAACTAGAGGCCTATATAGACATAAGAGTAACAAACAAATTCTAAATATCAAAATCCAAAGTTTATTTGAACGCAGCAAAAATTTAGTGTTGGCCACAATTTTCAAAATGGCCGATACTTATGCCGCAAAAATATTGTTTTTCGTAGTAATAAATGTAATTGTCGTAGTTAAATATTTAACATTTCTTTGCGTCTGTAATCAAAATTTTCTTCACAAAAGAATTCGAACGTTTAAAGAAAATTGAAAAATAACGATTGTTTCAGACACACTGGGACAGTTTTATGAACTATTGTAAAAGTTGTATTGCGGAAATTTGGATGAAAAGTGTTAAGATATGTCAACTTTAACTAATCTAAACCGAAACCTAGGTTTACCGTGAAAATAGTGATGACGTGAAATCAGAAATGGTGACTGCGTCAACAAACATGGCAATCATTTTCCGTAATCATTTGAAGGTTGATTTAGCAGCATTTGGTGACAACATGATGATAGCCAAAAATATATTTATATTTTCAGATTGAGGCGTTCGTTAAGGGGTTCAAACTGTCGTCCCTCACATACCGGCGGGTAATGCACCTGTTGAACGAGGAAATGAACAATGGACTCCATGCCAATTCAAACTATCTTGCCGACATTAAAATGTTCCCGACATTTGTTCGCTCTTTACCGGACGGGACAGGTAATTGTTGATTATTCTGTACCGTGTGTGTGTGATTATTCTGTACCGTGTGTGTGTGATTATTCTGTACCGTGTGTGGACAAAACTAAAGCAGAGTATGTATATCATTCATTCTTAACATAAGACAGTCCAGGCGTTCCATAGTATTGCATTTAATGCTCAAAGTTTGACTAAAATCTTAAGGGTCCTTTCAAATTTTAAATTTAAAGGTGTAAGAAAGGAGGCAGTTTGAGTCACATGCAAAGCTGTGAAATGTTGACTGTTAAAGCGTGAGACAAGCTTTCAAAATATATATGTTATAATAGTATAGTTTTAATTTTTTATAAAGTTTCAATAGAAACAGTTTTATCATAATAATGAACAGATATTAAATGTGGAAAAGCATTTTAGCCTGCATATGTGCTACTTTTCTAATTATAAAAGTAAATGGTTCAGGTAGAAAAATATATTTCAAGTTTTTTATATTCTTTTCAGAGAAGGGAAAATTTCTGGCATTAGACTTGGGGGGAACGAACTTCCGTGTTTTATTGGTTGTTATAAACGAGCGAGATGTAGATATTCAAAGTCAAACCTACCTCATACCACAAAGAATTATGCTTGGTACTGGTGTACAGGTAAAAATACCCTCTTGCAAATTGTGCATTTTATGCGTTCATTCACCTAGATATAGGATAAAGTATCATATTTTAAGAAGCGTTCATTTACCTGAATGTCTGTCGTTAGAAAAACATCAGAGCATTTCGACGTCTTATTGGAGCATGCAACTGTATAGTAATTTGAATATCTTTTAGAATATTTTCTAAATGGGATACTACAAAATGACATAATAAACGAACAAATATTAACATGAATACAACTTGAATACCATTAATCTCTTTTAAGAAAGATACTTAATGAAAATTTACTTATTCAAACAGTTCGCTTCAATTAAGCAAATATTGAAATACAGTATTCAAACAAATGTTCTTTCGACCGGGAAACTGTAAATATGTTTATTTTGCATGTTTTTTTCTCATTAAAAATTCAAGATTTTACTGAGTTCAAGTGACAAGTTGATTTAAACGTTTTTAATTTAAATTATGCAGATTGTCGGCAAACATTTTCAAACGAGGTTTTGGTAGTTTTCACTTTAAGCAAAACCTATTTTTCGTTTTTATCTTTTGCGCTTATGTCAAAGGAAAAAATATAATTACATCTTATTCTCTTGCAGTTGTTCGATCACATAGCAGACTGTATTAACAGATTTATTCACGATCACAGTTTAAAGAACGAAAAACTACCATTAGGGTTCACATTCTCATTTCCGTGTAAACAGGAAGGTCTGGCGAAAGCGAGGCTTTCAAAATGGACGAAAGGATTCCGATGTGAAGGCGTAGTGAACGAGGACATTTGTTTCCTTCTGCACGAAGCCATGAAACGAAAAAATGTAAGTTTTAGTGCTAATTCGTTTCTAGAAATAAATATTGATTTTTATGCCGATAACAATGAGGCAGTTATTTGTTTTGCATGTTCAGTTTAATACTACATGTACTTATTTTTAGCAAATTCAGCTTCAAAAGATCTAAACAAAACATATCATTTGGCCAACCTGACGTTGTTGCAAAACATGCGGCACACTACGTTAATGATTAAATGATACGTACATAGTGGAGACAGTGCCATTTGTTTTGTATGATTAACGTTAAAAGGTCTTATGTAAAATGCCAGTTACACGATTAACGTATGGTTCAGTGTCATGGTCGAATGGTGTCATGGTCAACTGTTTTTTTTTTCAAACAAGGGCAAAGATGTGACGATATGTGAAAAAAAAAATAAAACACATTAAAAAGAATAGGACACACTTAATGGTTAATACTTTTTTACTACATTGTAATGAATAAGCATTGGTTCGAACATTCCAGATGCTAGTATGTTAGACAGAACTTTGTCAACAGTTTGTAAGGTGTTGAATTTTGTTGTTGTTTCAAAAAGACATGACAGTCAACAAAGCAATCTAACTCAGTCTTTTGATCTTCTTACTTGTACTTTGTCTTTCCAAAAGACAGCGTAGCGTCATTGTGAACCTAATTTCAATAAAGCTAATCTGAAAACGCAGTAACTTATAAATGAAAAATAAGTCAGCCTATTCTCTCCATCATTGTGTTGTTCTGACCTACATAAACATTTGATTCTATTATTCGAAAATGTTAAACAAAACAAGAATTTTAGAAGGCTTCTCAAGAAATTGAACAACGTCGTTATGTTAGATTGCTTCTTGTCTCATTTCCGGTGCAATCGTCTGCTAACTTCCGATTATCAAACGTTTATAGTGTTTCTGCAGCCATTTTGTAATGACAGCAAACATGTCATTTACCTTTGTTAACGTTCTACGAAAATTAAAAGATTTTTCTTCATTTTTTATCATCACAAAATATTACATGATTCTGTCAGTAAAGAACAATGTATGGCATCTGAAAAGTGACACGGTGCTCTGATATTAAAAGCATCAGCTAAAGCTATTTATTATAGCTGATGTTGATTATATGGAGAAATCTAATTTAAGCAATTTGGAACGTTTTTTATCCACTTTTGAATTGCTATAGAAAAAAACCTGGAAAAGCTCATTTATCTTGAATAGAATAAATACACATACGGGCTACATATTGTGTCTATTTTGTATATTGTGTCTATTTTGTAAATTTCCATCTTTCAGACAGATAAACATATTAATTTATACAGGTTCACAATTTGTTTCTTTGTTTCTTTAGGTTTTAATGTAAAAGTCATTAAATGATCAATTTTCGGTTTGTTTTATTTTCAGACATCAACGGTTCAAGTTGAGGTTGTGGCTATAGTAAACGACGCCGTCGGGACGTTGATGTCGGCGGCACATAATGACAGGCATTGTGAAATAGGACTTATTTTAGGTAAGAATTAGCAGTTCTTGTATAATAAATTTCATAAATAAAAAAATAGGCAGTATTTTCAAAAAACATCACAACTCTGTTATCCCATATTAAGACAGGAAATAGATGATTTTTACCAAAAATATGAAAAAAAGGTGCGTATTTGAATGTAGACTACTGTTAAATATGATTCTATTTCTGTTATATGTAAATATAGTGTGTATGTACATGTTTTCGGAAAGAAGCTTTACACATCAAGTATACATGTATATGTAGACCTTCGAATTTCCACCTGATAATAAGCAGACAGTAACCACATAGTAATAATTTCAAAAATGTGTGATAACATCAACAGTGTTTGTCTGAGTAAATGTTACATCAGACATACAAAGGTGAAGGTCAACAAGGTAATGGGGCTTAGCGTGACAGTTGCCAATAATAACACTAAACTAACCTACTGTAAAACATTGATCACGTGAAGTAGTAAATAAAGGCTCGGTGTTTGGTCTAAATACAGTACTCTAGCCATTACTCCACCATGATGTTTTGATTTAAAAGACGCGTGCTCCATTTCTTATCTCAATGTCAATGTGAGAGTATTAAAAGTAGGGCGATATTTTGAGTATTGTTCAAACCTGAATTAAAGCACATTGCAAACAATGTATCAATTATCAATCTGTATAAATAAATATTTTGCAGTCTGTTGATTTGATGAAGAAAAACATCGGTTATAAGTTCGTGAAAATCTGGCCATACGTGTTTGATACATATTTATAAGATTTAAGATACTTTTAGATACTAAAAAGACAAATTGCCTAATAGATTACAGTGTAAATGATACTCGTATACCAATTTTACACCATGATTTTACACTAACTTTACGAGCGACCAAAAGTCATCAAAACGAGGATTTATTTTGGCATGAAAAGCACAGTCGCTATTTTACGACTTACAGAAATATTTTGATAATTCTATGTTTAAGAAGGCCAATTGTTGGGTGATTTGAACGCTGAAATTTTTTTTTGTATTATTCAATTTGACTTCACTTCAGGAGGTCTATGAAAAGTTCTTGCGGACCTTCTATACATGTTTTTTCATAAGTATAATATTTACGTTGGTCAGCTTTACAAATCTATTATTCCCTGGCCATGGTCCATATGGAATATATTACATGTAAACAAAGGTTGCTAAGGTTATTCATAAAAATGGGCAGCCTTATGAAACAAAACAAAAACTATTTTAACTTTACAAGTGTAAACTTCTTTCGGAAATTTCTCTCTCTTTCGAAATAAACATTTCCCAAAGGATGAGAAGAAAAAATATTATATAATAATGAAAAACAACAACATTTGTTCAACTCCCCAAAGCAATTTCCAGGTAAACAAGACCAATATTCTAATGGCTTATCGATTGTGTATCAATGACGTCATGTTCGTGATCAAATGATATTAAACAGCACAAAGTATGAGTATCTTTTTACCTCATTGCAAGGAAAGAAGATACATCATGCGAAATCAAATATTTCTAATCGTTTTTATCAGGAAAAAACAGAGACAAATGAGCTGCCGATGAAAATGTCTTAGAACATCATGCATATTTTATAATACTTCTTACAATTCCATTAGTCGTTATCAGTTGATGCTCGCGAATTGTTAAAGGCACAACACGTTCTTAAATGCTTTATTTTATAACTTTTGAAAAGCTTTTTATTTTTGGTGTCCATTTATAGTTTCCAAATAGTTACTTATTGGCCAATTGCCTTAATCATCGTTTACTTCTGTTGCTCAGCGCTGTAAAAGTGATTTAGTATTTTGTAATGATGTCACAATATTACATTGTTTTTTTGTATTTTATATTTTTACACAAATAATCCAGTGCTGCTGTCTGCAGGTGATGAAGGGCCATTATTTAAACGGCTTAAAAAAAACTCATGTTCGCCCTTTCTTACGAAAGAAAAAAAAATCTTGGTATGTTGTTCCTTTAAGGACAATTTGTACATTTCGATCTTTTGTGTTATTGTTAAAGCGCCTAAAATTCAAAGAGATGATTGAAAAAGAAAATTAACTTTTCTGTTTAAAGATTTAAACTAGATCATGCGGATTATCCTTTCATCAGAACATAATTATCATTACGTATCCAGAACTAAAATGGTAGAACACTTGTTATTATGTACAATACCCAAGTGATCCCTAAAAGGTTTAAATCTCTTCCGAAAAAACATTACAATCAAAGAGGTCATTTATATTACGTTAGAAAGGAACTATTGACGCCACTCCTTCAACATAAAATGATATGATTTGCTAGGATAACATGAAGTTCCTAAAGATTCTGCAGTTCTTTGCACGCTTTAAAGTGACTCCACTGATTTGTTTGTTTGTTGGTTTTTTAGGGGGGAGGGGGGTTGTAACATGACGGGATCGAGCTTACTGATCCATTTTGTGTATATCAAGACTAATACCTTGTCTGTCAATTTTCAGATCATACGTCCACTCCGTTTTTCTAGAATAATTAATCTAACTGTGAAAAATGACCCAAATTGAAAAGCGTTGCGACAACGCTTTTCTGAGGAAAGAAAAAAATACGATTTTTAATTTATTTCTGAGTATATTTCTTAACAATTTCTTGCATATCATTCTGTTTTAAGTGCCCCAGCGAACTACTACGTAAGAAATCCAAATTTTATGTTTTAAGGTTTTTGGACACGAGTATAGTTCCTTTAAGACATTTAGTGATCAATGTTCCTAAAACTGCAAGCCAGTTATATTTGTAAGTTTCTCAAACGAATAAAAAAAAACTAAAAGTACGTAGGCTTAAACTAGATCAAAAATCCCAATATTTGTAATACATATGATAACTCAAGGTGAGCCAGCAGTGAATGCTGTGAAAGACTGGAAGATTTTGTAAGCGTTCTTCGTTGTTTTTTTCTTCCTACCTGAGAAAAGGGCAAGAATTAGCGGAATGTGTTTTTGGAAAGCTTATGTTCTGGAGCTGTCATTATTTATCATTTAAACATCTCGTCTGATGCAAGAATATTGTTTTTGTTCATTCTTTTTCTAGAGCATATTACTTTTATTGCGTAATATGTTAAATTTGCTGGCATAACGCTGTATATATCGTTATGCTAATGTTCATAATGTATATATTAGCAACTTGCAATTCATCTTCTGTAAAGCTATTATAAAATACGTTTTAGTAAGCTGCACCTGTTATTCATATATTGTAGTATCAAATCTCGCGGTTTATTTGAATTTCACGCGAGATTTTAAGAAAGAAAATAATTTGCTTCTCCTTATGTTTTTCCTTGTTCCCGAATCTATGTTACTTTTTTTATATTCACCCTACCGAGACGCTCATTTGGTGTTAACGATATTCAGATGGCTTCTTTCATACTTAAAATTTTCACATTTCCATGCCGCTTTTGCGACTCCGTCATGGAGCTTTTGCGACTGCGTCTGCTGGACGGCCGGGCATATATTTCAACGTGACGCCATTGGCGGTATAGCAAGGCGTAAAAAAAATGTTAGCATTACACTATAAGCGGGTCAGTTTTAAGGTGATTATTTTTTTACTGGAAACATGTCTGTTTTTAGATACCTGATAAATAGAATATCATATTTATATAGCTTCAGTATTTAATATATTGAATTCTTTGAATAAAGAATATTATGATCGCCAGAGGCTGGCATAAGATAATGTTATTCAACTTGTTCAAGTATTTCAGTATCATGAAGTAAGCTTTTGTTTATTGATATAGTATTTAGAGGTAAATACTTGGTTGCTGCTCGCCATTATGCGATAATGGCCCGAAGATGTGCATAATGGCCGCAGACCCGAAGGACATAATGAACTCAAGGGCCATTATCGCATAATGGCGAGCAGCAACCAAGTATTAATAAGTGTTAAGTGTAAACAATCGTTGGCTATTAGTTCAAGTTTATAAAAGATCATTAGGTTTGACAGTAACGTTAAAAAACGATATCTCATTTGTTAAAAGTTCAAGCTTTTCTCATGTACATTAACAATTCGGATACCGGATCCAGATATAAAGTATATAAAGCTTATATAAAGTATATAAATCCATTTGCACAATGTTGTATATTAAAATAGATTCGCTCTGATTATTTTCAATAAAATGTGTGGCGGGTCCATAGTAAATAAACAATAGTCTAATTGGTATAATATTGACTAGTTTTTAAATCAATATTAATGTAATAATTATTTGAAGTAATATAAATGGATAACTAGGCAGGTGTTACAATGTAACAGTCTAGATGTCGGCCTAACTGTAGAGTAGAATGTCATGATAGCTTCGCGTGATCATAAAACCCTGTCTGGCAAGACTTTAAATTACATATGACATAACACAGTCATCAACTTAGTTAATTTATTAATTTAGCGTATATTTATAAAACAGTAACTTTTATAGAATTTATGGTGGAATTTTCCTGTTTATCGTTTCTCATAGAAATCCAAGTACATGTAGTTACAACGATGTTTCTGTAGTTTGAATCTCGAGTCGTTTCCCTAGAACTATAAAGAAGAAAATGTTTACGTCTTAAGTTCATTTATCAACCGCTTGGCCTCTTATATAATGAAAAAAGTGCGTTATGGAACAATAGGTACTGATACAAGAGACAGGAACACAGTTTTGTTGTAATGTGTATAAAAGCCAACGTGTTAACTTGAAACTTAAGCTTTAAATAACCTGTTTTTATTTTATTTAAAAAATGAAGTGAATGTTACCTTGCTTTAAGGAAGCATTTCAGAATGTTTAGTGACAAGATGAAAACTGAGTATAATTAAGTAGACCAATGACAAGATGAAAACTGAGTATAAATAAGTAGACCATTTTAAAAGAACCAGGATGCGATGTTACAATGTTAATAAATGCATATCGTGTAAGAAGTGTCAGATATTTATAGCGTGAATGTTAGCCATGACATAGTTATTCTAAATATTCCTCATGTATTAAACTGTGAGATCTAAGCTACTTTGAATACTTCGTAACTGACACGTGCATAAATGTTTATAATAAATGCTGGCATCTAGTCAAAATACTAAATGACACTTAATTGTGTGTCCTTTTTTTTAAGAAAAAAAAATATTTATAAATTGTTTGGCGTTTTCTGGTGGAACTGAAAAAACCATGGCTGGTCTTGTTGCTTTGAAGGATTTACATAGCGCAAAGGTCATTCTAAATACCCTAATAGTCCCATGCATGTATGTTTAATAGCCGAGACACATATGTAAGTTAAACATTTTGGGGAAAATGCATCTTTCTATATCAAGCGAGTATGATACTTCGGTAATGACAACCGCAAATGTTTAAGCGGACAAACTTGTTAACGTATGTATGTAATGTGTAGTCGGCATTTTGCCTTGGCCTAAATTGGTACGTTTTTACAGTCATTCAGTAAAATCACATGCTGTGAACGACGGCCAGATAAAATATCAAGTAGCAATACTTTACTGTAGTATTATTTACACAATTAGGTTAAATGGAAAAATTTATTTTGTTTCTGGGGTTTTACTTACATTGGTTTTAAGTTTTGTTTTTTGGATATTCACATCTAATTGTGTATACAACTTACTGAAAGACTAGATATAGCGTTATAAAAAACATCTTTAAACATTGGATGAAAAAAGCAACACTTGCTGAATTTAACATTATTTTGGTATTCAAAACAAAACTTTATATTTCGGCCTTAAATATCATTTCAAATGCGAGGGTTTAACGTTTAAAGGTTAAAATTTATCCCAAGGACAAGGCAAATAGTATACGTACTGTATGAATGTAGTAGATCATTAATCAATGTTGCTCCAGTGACCTGGCATATCCTGCTCCCGTTTGTTTATTTTGGGAAAATAAATCGTTAAACATGTGACATTATGCAAAATATATAGATACTTATCAGAGGACAAACGCACCAACTTGTCCTTGTAATTATAGAGCACAAGATTGGCATGACAACAGCTGCAGACAAAACGTACTGAATTAATAAATAAATGTCTACATGTAATTATTACTTCAACGCCATACCGGTCTCTTTCCTTTATACCAAGGCCGGACTAATTTTTAACTCAGAAATGAATAATTTTGTTCTATCTTTGGAAAAGGGCAAACATGAGTTTTAAAATATTTATATAATGGTTTAATTAAGAGAATGTTTGAAACTTATCGTCTGTGGAAAACAGCGCTGAATGTGAAATTATTTGTCTTAAAAGTAGCAAAATGTAAACAAAGTAATATTTTGACTTCCATACCAAAATACAAAATCACTATATCTATACTAATTGACAAAGATGTTTCAGGTACTTAGCCAATGAGAACCATTTTGGAAACTATAACGGGACACATATAATTAAAAAAAAACTTTTGAGAAATAATATTTAAAGCTGGGGCATTATGGACCTTTAAAAAGTAAAAAAGTATAATCGTTCATAAGGGGAAGCTAATTATTTCAATTCAAGTGGCATAACTCGGACTACATTATAATTTAGCTCCCTTCCACTGTATTTTATTGTATGAATATAGATGTATGTAGTTAAATAAAATAAACAAAAATATCTTCATACAAAAAAAAAAAACTGCGTCCAATTTCAGGAGACTGTCTACATGCACAAGATCCATAACTTTTGCTTACAAAATTATGCCAGTTTGAATATTATTAGAATTTTCAAAATAAAGTACTACATCAATGCTTTCAAACTTAATGGAACAATGCGGCATAGAGTCTTTGATAAACACAGCAAACCATTTTGACACAATACATCTTTGTGTCTTACTGGAGTATTAGATGCTAAGATCAAAAAATTTCAATATTAACTGTTAAATACATGTATATATTCATATATTTTCAGGCACTGGTTGCAATGCATGTTACATGGAATCTCTACACAACGTGGGATTATGGGAAGGTGATTATGACCACCCAGAACAGGTTTGTACCAGTACAGCACTAATTCTTACAGTACTTTGTTTTTTTGCATGGCATTGAAAGTACAGAATATTTCAAGGTTAACACATATATTTAGATAATGTACAGATATCTTTGTAACAGATTTTGTAAGTGACAAAGGCCTGGTAACAAAGTAAACATATATAATCAGGTAACATAATGTTACACATACCGTCATGTAACACACGTTACACATACTGCTAGGTAACATAATGTACACATACCGTCATGTAACACACGTTACACATACTGCTAGGTAACATAATGTTACACATACCGTCATGTAACACACGTTACACATACTGCTAGGTAACATAATGTTACACATACCGTCATGTAACACACGTTACACATACTGCTAGGTAACATAATGTTACACATACCGTCATGTAACACACGTTACACATACTGCTAGGTAACATAATGTACACTTACCGCCAGGTATAATGTACACATACCGCTAGATAACATAATGTACATTTGTACAATATCTATGATAACAGGTATTAATCAACACGGAATGGGGAGCGTTTGGTGACAATGGTTGTTTAGATTTTATACGTACAGAATACGACCGTGAACTGGACACATACTCCATAAATCCAGGAAAACAAATGTGAGTAGTCACTTCTTAGATTTACATACTCGTGTTTTCAAGAATTTAATTGCATAATATACATGGTTATATTGATTTCTTGGCTCGCCATAATTGGATGAAATTGATTTTTTTTTTTGTAAAATAAAATATCTGCTAAACAAACTTTTTTCTATTAATCACAAAGGTCTGTTTATTCAAATATGTTTTGTTTTAATAGTGTTATAACCATTAAAGGCACATGCCTCAGAAATCCATAATTATTAAATCTTTAGAAATGTAAAACATTAAATTTTGTTTAATGATGTTTTAATAATGGATTTAAAGCATTTTAGCTGTTTAACAGCTGAAGAATGTAGTGCTAAACGTGCAGTAATATATTGTTAAGATAGCAAAATGTAAACAAAATAGCATGTTTTGTTAAGATAGCAAAATGTAAACAAAATAGCATGTTTACCTCCAATATATTAATTGCCTAAAACAAAAGAAGCAAAGAATGTTCATCTTTATGGCAAATAACTATTTTTTTAATTGAAACAAGAAACCAACAATTTAAAGTTTTGTAAAATTAAAAATGATAGCATTTCAAGGCATAATGGGCCTTTAATCTTTCAAGTGGAGTCTAACAATTGGAGCTTTAAAAAGGCCATAAACTTGACTGTGGAAAATGTTGTGAAAGCATCTTTTAAATGTTACCATATTTCAGTTATGAAAAGATGATATCTGGTATGTACATGGGAGAGATAGTCCGATTAGCATTAGAGCGGCTCTCTATGGAAGGATTGTTGTTTGAAAGTGCCGACCAAGAATGTGAATTGTTTCACAGAGGCAGATTTTTCACTAAATATGTGTCAGAAATTGAAAGGTATGATTATGAAAGGGATGCTTGTAAATATGAAAATGTTATTATGCACTTTATAATGGGTCAGGTGGTAATTTTGGTATATCGTAACTTGTGTTTAACTTCTATTATTTTTGTCGACTTAATACGGACAACGCCGCAAGTCAAGGGGTTTGCAAACCCTGGCCTTTGGCTTTCCCGGCTATAGACAACACGTGTTTATTTAAAAGGAAATGAAATTTAAAAAAAAACTTAGTATAGATTTCTATATCTATCTGTAAAATTTTCAGTGTACGAAAAAATGTAAATTAAAAAATGAATGGAAATGTTTTATCTTACTTCCCCGTTCATTTACATATATATTGGCTTTGCCTACTTTCATATTACAATATTATATGTAAAAATGTTTTAAGTGTATTTAACTGACGATGATAACAGCTTCTAGTAAATTTCCATTTGTCTTTATCTCGATTGCATCAGGAAAATACGTGCCAATTCTCATGTTAGTTTGTCTGCTCCAAGTCACTCAATAATGCAAGTATAAGAACGGTATGATCTATTTTTGGATATTTACACATCTTTGTTAATATCATTTTTCAGTGATCATGACGAATTCTTCAGAAACACAAAACAAGTGCTAGATGAGATTGGTGTCACAAATTACACTTCAGAAGACTGTAAAATTGTCAAGTATATTTGCACATTGGTGTCTGCGCGCGCAGCTTTCTTGTCGTCTGCCGGTTTGGCGACGCTCATCAATCGTTTGAATAAACCGGAAATGACGATTGCTGTTGACGGGTCACTCTACAGATTCCATCCAAGATTTCATAACTTAATGACACTAAAGATACAAGAGCTTGTGAAAAAGGGATTGCGGGTAAGGTTACATTTATATAGTATTTGTTAAGTCGAAACTCGGTTAAAATGTTGTTTACAATCATTCATAATGTGAGCCTATGATCATGAATTGTTTACAATTTATAATGCCGAAATCGGATAAAGCCCTAAAGTTATATAATGAAAAGGCATCAATTTAATCATCCTTAACAGAGAACTTCAGAAATTCTTAATTAAAGTCCCAGGCCTCCCGGTTAGTAAAGATGAGTCTTCTAAAAATACTTTATATGGGAAATGAATAAATATCCGAGATCCTGGTGAAACTTTGGATGAATCGGCAAAATATGTCAAGATTGAATATTTTATTACCAAAGTCCTTTTTCCGTTATTAACGGAGAATAATATATTTCTGCGCATTTTGACATCTGTAGATTGTTTGTATCTTTTTAGAAATAAATCAAATTTGACAACATTTTACTTGATATACCAATTTTAAAAATACAAAATTGAAGGCGAGTTGCTTTATCTCATGTAAATTACTGTTTTGTTGATTTCTTTCCAGTTCAAGTTACAATTGTCGCATGACGGAAGTGGAAAGGGGGCTGCCTTAGTTGCTGCTGTAGCAATGAGATTAAGAGACATTAAACAAAATCAGTGTCCTGCTTGAAAAAATACTCTTCAATATGGCGCCACTTCCGGTCGCAACTGCATTAATACCACGTGGGATTCATCCGTTTATAGACTGTCGTGATACAAACTTACTTTATAAGAAAACGTATAAACGGATCCACATAAGTTAGACATAAGTTAGTGCATAACTTCACCTCAAACATTGTTAAGAACTCGAGTTAAACAAAAAAGGAAAGCTTTTACATTTTCTGCGCATGCTCAAACAGAAGAATTCCATTGTAATAGTACACACTTTTACTTTCCCGCCATTTGAATTTTGTTTACTAGATGATGGCATCACATAATTATGTCGTTCATGTTCGTTCATTACGGGGTCTACTTTCAGCTGGTGACCTTTGCATGCGTTTGGTAAACTTTGACAATGAAACTCTGTTTCTATTCTAAGAAATTGTGTGTGCTTTTTCTAGTTTCTTTTGAAAGTTCGCAGCAGCATCTTAAAATCATGCATATTAAACACAGACTATTTTTGGAACCACATGAACTATGTAGTTAATGCATGAAATAAAACATTATTTTTCCTTCTCGTATTAAAATATATTCAGCTAGGTCGTCTGCGGCACTCGCTCATCTCCATAATGTATAATGATGTAATTCAGCATTTTTAACAGAAAGGTGTGATAATATGAAGTGTTGTGAGAAGATGAAGATTTCACAGTCATGGTCATTTTCAAGTTTATTTATGTAGCTGTTTTTTCTTTTTTTTTCTTTTCCAGCGACTGCAATAGGGTCTTATTTCTGTAATATTTAGTTTAATGAAATGTTTTTTGATTGAACTTTTCTATTTTATAAAATTTATTCGAGTTTCTGCCAGTAATAATTTACTGTGACATGATTTATCTACCTTTTGTATTGTACAAATATTGACTCGAGAATAAGAGATTTCTAAAGTGTGCGTACGTGCGTGATTGCATACGGGCACTTATATATGCAGTGTCTAAATTTAAAAACTTTATTACAAATGACATACGCTTTTCACAAGCACTCCTTGTATTTGCTAGAAGCCAAGTTGAAGAGGTTGGAAGTCACAGCCGGAAATTATGACGTCATCTATAGATCATTTGAGCCGCGTCATGACAAAACCAACATAATGGGTTTGCGACCAGCATGGATCCAGACCAGCCTGCGCTTCCGCGCAGTCTGATCAGGATCTATGCTGTTCGCTAACAAACTCTATTACAAATAGAGAAACTGTAGCGAAAAGCATGGATCCGTTTTTTGATATTAATTTTTTTTTTTTTTAAGGGGTTTACTTTTACTTTTTTCGTTTAAACTTTTGCAAAAAAATCTTTTCTTTTCAAAATTTTTTTTTTCTTTTTTTTTAAAATTTTAATTTTTTAAAAATATCTTTAAAAATTTTTTCCCCAAAAAAATTTTTTTTAAAGTAAAATTTTTTTTTTCTTTTTAAAAATTACAGGGGCCTGGGCCCGATCCCCTATGAAAGAGTAAAGCATTTTTTAACAAAAATTTTAAAATTTAAAAGTGTTTAAAGTAAAACCGTCAGGATTGGTTTAAGTTTTTTTCCCTTTTTTTTTTCCCAAATTTTACTAAAAAAGTTTAATGAAATTTATAATTTTTTTTAAAAATTTTCTTTTGCCGGAAATTTCAAATGATTATTCCTTTTTTTTTAAAAAAAAATTTTTTGAAAAAAAATTGGTTTTTTGGGCATTAATATTTTTAAATTTAAAAAATTTTTAAAAAAAGCCCTTTTAACCCCCCCTTGTATTTTTTAAAAGCCAAGTTAAAATTAAAACCCCCAAAAAATTTGAGGGATTTTAATATTTAAAATTTTTTATTTTCAATTTTTTTCCCCCCCTTTTTTTCTTTTTGCGGTAACCCTTGTGTTGAAAATTTTAGGTTTTTTTATAAGGGGTCTTTAAAATAATTTTGGGTTTCCATTTTCTATTTTTAAAAATTCTTTTAAAAAAAATTATTTTTTTTAAAACCTTTTTTTTTTTTTTTAAAATTTTTGGGTTTTTCTTTTTGAAAGGTTATTTTTTATTTTTCTTTTCATTTAAAACTTCCATTTTGATACTTTTCCCAAAAAAAATTTTTTAACCTTTCAAAGAAAAAGGGCCTTTTTTTAAATTTAAAAAAAACAAAAATTTTAAATTTCTTTTAAAAAAATTTTTTAAAAAAACCGTCAACAAAAAAATTAATTCCAACTTTTTTTCAAGGGGGTAATCCCCCCCCAAAAATTTTTTAATTTTAAAAAATTTAAAATGGTTTTCCTGAGGCCCAAAATAGAAAAAATTTAAAATTTATTTTTTTTTTTTGGGGGTTTTTTCCCCCTTAAAGGTTTTTTTTAAAGGAAAAAATTTTTTTTAAAACTAAAAATTTTTGAGGATTATAAAATTTTTAGATTTTTTTTATTTGTTTTTCCCCCCTTTTTTAAAAAAAATTTTTAATGTTTTTAAAAAATTTTTCCCCTTTTTTTTTTTTTTTTGTTTTAGTTAAAGGTTTTATTTTTTTTTTTAAAAAAAAAAGTAAACCCCCTAAAGGTGCAGGTTTTGGTCAGTTTGAATTAGAAACTTCCAAAAGAAAGTTCTTTTTGCCAAATTAAGTTTGGTAGAATTAAATTTTCCCCGGTTTTTATTTTTAAAAAATTCAAAATTTTCCCTTTTTTTCCTCGCGGGAAATAGGGGGAAAATCCGTTAATTTCCAAAGGGGGTTTTTTTAAAAAAAGGTTTGGGCCCAATTTTAATACCGTGAAAAAATTTAGGAAAAAAATTTATTTTACCTTTCCCCGGGTACCCGGTTCAATAATTAAAATTAAAAAATTTTTTTTTAAATAATTGTTTTTAAATTTTTTATTTAAAAAACTTGTTTTTTAAAATTTTTTTTAAAAAACCTTTTTTTTTGGGTTAAAAAGTTTTTTTTTTTTTTTAAAAAAACTTTTTCTTCCGGGGGAAATTTTTAATTTTTTTCATACGAAATTTCCCTTCGGTTTAAAAGAAAAAAAAAAAAGATTCCCTTTTGGGTTTTTTAAATTTAAAGTTTTTTTTATTTCCCAAAAAAAAAATTTTTTTTTTAAAAATTTTTTTAATATTTTATTTATTTTATAAAAATTTTAAAAAACCAAAAAACCCGGTTTTTTTTAAAAAAAATTTTTTTTAAAAATTTATTTTTTTTTATTAATTTTGTTGCAGTTTTATTTTTTAGAAAATAATTATATCAAAAAAACCCAAAATTTTCTTTTAAATTGTGAATTTTTTTTTAAACCCTTTTGAAAAATTTTTTCTGCAAAAAAATTTTTTTTAAAAAAAAAAAAAAAATTTTTAAAATTTTTAAAATTTTAAAAAATTTCTTTGAAAAATTTTTTGAAAAAAACTTTGTTTTATAAGAAAATTTTTGTTTTGGATTTCAAATTTTTTTTTTTTTTTTTTTTAAACTTTTTAAAAAAATTTTCCTGAAATATTTAAAAAAAAACCCTTAGGAAAAAATTTGTTTTTAAAAAATTTTAAAAAAATTTTTAATTTATTTTTTGCCCCCCTTTTAAAGAATTTTTTCTTTTTCAAAATTTTTGGGGGGGGTTTTTTTTTTTTACCAAAAATTTTTTTAAAAAAAAAAAAAAAAAAAAACCCCTAAAACTTTTGAAAAAAAAAACCCTTTGACCCAAATTTTTTTAGTTCTGTTGAAATTTTTTTTTTGCAATTCCCCAAAAAACCAAAGTATTATTTTTGTCTTTAAATGAAAAATTTTTATATTATTTTTTTTTCTTGGAGATACTGATGATAATACTGCATGAAGATTATAGATTTACTGCAAAACTACTGTATGTTTTTGCTTTTAAATTTAAGTAGATATTGCAATGTTGCAGTTAATTCCACCTCATTGTGTGCTTACTATAATGGAATATTTGTTACTGCACATAAAATAATGTAAATAATTTAAATATCAACTTGTTATAGCACATGTTAAATTGGAATAAAATAAAAAAAGAAAACAAAGTAAAATATCTTGTTTTTCTATATTTTCACAATATTTTAAAACTTGAGGGACAAAGAATGGGAAAAATGTAACATAAATATACTACTGATACAAATAGAGTCCAACCCTACTTTAACTTTACAATAGTAATAATGTTTAATACATTAATTTAAGTCCAAATATGAATAATACTTTACCAAAGGGTCACTTCACTTGCAGAAGACAAATCCATATCTATATGTACCGCATTCTTTTTTTTCCTCTCACACACGGACATCTGCCAAAAAAAACTGTCCCTCTGTAAGGTAGTTTTATAATTTACTTACAATAGAGGCAGACTGTGTTTTGTAAAGAATAAAAATCAAAAACTAAACAGAAAATATTAGGTTAAACTCGCCATATACAAGTCTTGAGAGATTTGTTTGAAAAAAACCCACACTGGTCCTTTGTCCAGCTAGCTCCATCATTTGGGGGTCATTTACAAGGCAAGTTAAGTTTCACAATCAATGAGGGGGGAGGAAATTGTAAATTCTAGCATTTAACTTATTTATTTCATGTATTAAACTTGTTGGAACTTTCCATTATGAAGTACAGGGATAAATATCAAATTTATAAAAGTTAAAACTGCATGCTACAAGCGTTCTCCATGTCAAGTCTTTAACCTTTACCAAGCTGAATATCTTATTATGAACTTGTCCATCTTTTAATTTGAAAAAAAAAACATTCATCCTTTTTAGTGTAAATTTCAAAACGGAACCGCCTGCTGCATATTTGTGTGCACTGTTCGCATGGATAGTATGCTACCACACAAAACGAAGAAATATATTCAATATAGATAAAATGCATTCTTAAAATACAAATCATTTCAATTCACCAAATTTCGACTTAATTGGGTTTTTTTTACTAAATTTTAAAATTGGTCTCAAACAAAAACAAAGAATGACTGAGCCCCTCATGACAAAACCCAAAATAAAGGGTTTTGCCAGCATGGTCCAACCAGCCCGCGCATCCCCGGCCCGTCTGATCAGGACCCTGCTGTTGCTTACAAGCCCTATAGAAGAGAGAAAATGATAGGGGAAAAGATGGGTCCTGATCAGACTGCGCGGAAA